GTGTGTGTGTGTGTGTGTGTGTGTGTGTGTGTGTGTGTGTGTGTGTGCGCACTCTGCCTCTCTGTGCTCCGTTCTGGGCGTCTCCAGTGTGCTCCGCTGTGTTCTGAGGGTTATGTAAGGTTATATAAGCTCCCAGTCAGGCCAAGGCTGCAGTAATGTAATTAGTTAGAGGCCTGCAGGCGAGGGAGGTGACCATTACAAAGACCAAATTTCCCATAAAGCCTACTGAGCATTAGCCTCCCTCTCACTGGCCCTGCTGACTTGTATTATGGTTTCTGCAGTCAGCTGGTTCTGGTATTTATGTCCCATCCACAGTTAAACGGACATGTCCAGTGGGGTGCTGGAGCTGGTGCCAGAACAGTGACCCAGTCTCTCCGCCTTCACCTTTCATCCAAAGGGGGGGGGGGGGTTATTTCTATGAGCCCAGATGTCAGCAGTAACAACTTCATGATTCTATTATGTGCAGTGGAAAATCGATTTTCTTCTCTCACAGAGCACATACTGTTATTTTGTGTTGTGGGAAAAGTCCTCTAATAAACTCTAAAAAGCCAAACATAGTGTAAAGACAACTTAAGCAACATCTGACCAGTAGGGCGTGACTAAGTTACCTCGAATGGGTAAAATGTTCAGAAAACATTTTCTTATGATGTAAAAATGCAAATCTCTTAAAAATAAGCCAATTCAGTCACTCAGGAACCTCTTCTGGTACTGATCTTAATCACATGTTTGACTCTCATTTGCAACATTTGCACATCAATTTTATTTCTGCTGCATAATCATTACCACTTATGTATAGTGTAATAAATGATATACCTCATATTCTTTAAGCCTAATTGAGAATGAGCAGCCTGTTACCTTGCAGACAGATGAAATCATCAGACATTAATCAGGAGTAAAAAAATCATAGTGACATAATCTTTTGTGATGATCTCTAGTTATGGATTAGTGTCTCTGCAGAAGTTCCCTCCACTGGCCAGAGCACATCTGGCGGGAGCTGAGAAGATGTTCAGACTGGCTTAATGGATCAATAGAAATTAGGAGTAAACGAATGTGTTTATTCAAAGTTTTAATCCAGAGTTAGTCCAAACATTACCAAACTCTGCAGTGTCATTTAAAAAAAAAACGTTTCCATGTTGAATGGCATCAATGGGAGCATTGTTTGAGGAGCAATTGGGTTATTAATGCTCATTATTCACTCTAAATTCATCACTGCTTTAAATTCAGTCCTTTCCGCACCTCTTTGATGTATCAGACTTTATAGGAATGTTCTCCAGGCATGACTTTGATTTAGATTCATTACCCCCTGCCTGACACTGACTTCTTACAGATAAAGTCCTGCGTGTGTGAGTACATGTGCATGGAGGGGACTCACCCTGTGTCGAGGCTCTGGGAGGCAGATCCCGACTCTGTTCCGCTCTCTGCATCACTGTCACTCTGATACTCCAGCGGAGATGTGGAACCTGGCTTAATCCGAACTACAGAGAGGAACCAGCAAGTGAGGAACGCACGGAGAGGAGGAGAGATGGAATGGAGAGGAAGAGAAGAAAATACAAATTGAGAATTGGAGGAGACAAAAAAAAAAACAGAAGAGCAGAGGTTTGACGAAGAACAGCACTGTCAAACATTTCAACAAGCTGAAACCCTTTTTCTTAAGGGTGTAGAATAATGAAACGGCTTTTATGTTACTTGCTTTGTTTTCAACAGTTGACAGTTTTTCTATTTTTATTTTCAGAATTATTGAAGCAAAGACACAACACAAACAAAAATAATTCATGTATGCGTCCAATTATTTGGTCTGAAAACATAAACAAAAGCTTCCTCCTCCTTTTCTTTCTGAGGTCACATAGAACAAACATAGAACATAAAAAGAATTTCCCAATTTTTTCCTCACAAACATCCATCAGTCTCCCAGTTGATGTTCTGGTTTGACTCTGAGCTTAAGTTTCCTCAAACATGAACAGATACAGTGGGGCAAAAATAATGATTTAGGTCAAATTCAACTGTGAGAGGCAAAAAGAGGAAAAAAATCATTGTGGAAAATGAGTATTTGGTCACCCACAAACAACCAGGTTTTCTGGCTCTCACAGAGCTGTAGATTCCTCTTTAAGAAGCTCCACTGTCCTCCACTCGTTATCGGTCCTAATGGCCCCTGTTTGACCTCCTTATCTGTATAAGAAACACCTGTCCACAGCCTCAAACCCCGCCATGGTCAAGGCCGAAGCCAAAGAGCTGCCCAAGGACACCCGGGTGGGAGAGGGAGTCCACCACTGGCCGGTGGGAATAAATCAACTGTGGCAGCACTTCTAAGAAAATGGAGGACATGGCAGACCATTGATGATCTCCCTCCATGTGGAGCCCCAAGCAAGACCTCATCCCACAGGCCAGAATTATCATGAGGAAGGTGAGTAAAAATCCCAGAACTACATGGAGGACCTGATGGGTGACCCAAAGAGAGCTAGGACCACAGGAACACACACAGGCTATAATCACTAACACACTACAGTAACACACTCCACCCAGAGGGACTCACGTCCAGCACACCCCCCTGCTCAGGCCAGTGCATGTCCAGGCCCGTCTGAAGTTTGCCAGAGAGCAAGAGGACTGGGAGAACAGCATGTGGTCATAGGACACCAAAATATAACTTTTTGGTTAAGACTCAACTTGTGTTTGGAGGAAGCACCCTAGCTACTGTGAAGCATGGGGGTGGAAACATCATGCTTTGGGGCCGTTTTTCTCCAAAGGGGACAGGATGACTGATCCGTGTTAAGGGAGGACTGGACAGGGCCGTGTATCATGAAATTTTGGGCCAAAACCTCCTCCAATCAGTGAGCACTGAAGCTGGAACGGGGCTGGGTCTTCCAGAATGACGGTGACCTTAAACGCACCGCTCAGGCAAAGGAGTGGCCTCACCAGTGTCCAGACCTGAGCCCCATGGAACATTTGTGGAGGGAGTTTAAAGTCTGTGTTGCCCCAAAACCATCACTGGTCTTGAGATCTGCATGGAGGGATGGGCCTAAACCCCTGGGTAGGACTTCAGGAAAACACTTGGCCTCTGTCATAGCCAACAAAAGTTGTTACATAGTATGTTTTACGTTGACCAAATACTTAATTTTCCACCATAATTTAAATCCTACAGTGTGATTTTATGGATTGGAAGAAAAAAAAAAAGAAGGAATTTCTCATTACCTATGATGAGAATTTCCAAGTAGGACAACTTGCCTTTTTTTTTACCCCACTCTTTCCAAAGAATTTCAACACAAACCAGTACCATCGTCGTGTTTTGCAGCGACTGTGAAACCAGTTGGTTTGTGGCTTTACATGATCCTTTTTCAGTGCATGCAGATGACTGTTAAAAGCTACTAAAATGTGCAAAAATGGCTGACAGAGCTCTAAGAACCACTAAATGGTGTCAATACTTATGATGCAGGATGACAGCTGAAAAATTCAAAACCTTTCTAGTGTGATAGAGCAGCATTCTAAAGAAAAAAACATGAGTCATGTACCCTCAACCTGCAGCTGCATGCTCATATTCTGTTTGTGTCTAATCTAATGCATCAGGGGAGAATTTAATGAAGCGCAGAGATAATCTGGGCTTGTTTGGAGAACGTATTGCTGTTAGGGGGTGCAGTTAAAGCTGCAATACAAATTTCTGACTAAAAGATTTGAGACCATTTAGCTCTTGGAGGAAAGAACGGTCACACCGCTTGGATTTAAGAGACTCATTTTGAGGTAAAAAGAAGTTTATTATACCCATAACAACAGTGGGATGAAGGAACTTCTGGTATGTTTAGTACATTATCCTGTTAAGATAAAAAAGTCAGACTTTTTTTGGGGGGGGGGGGTTTCTTTGTGTGAGTGCCTTCATTTACATTCCTGAGTCTAGATAGAGCCGTTTTGATTTAGAAGCCGAGGTAAAAAAAAACTTTTTTAATCAAGGGCCTTTACTATAGTTTACCAAAGGGAGTGAAGGATGTTCAGTGAAGGATGAATCAGACTTCCTTTTACCACTTTATCGTAGTAGCTGAAGGTGAATCCAATTAACAAAAAGACCATGACAGAAAAACTGTCATCTCAAAATGAAACCGCTGAATTATTTTCATATCTTCATCTGTCTTCACACAAGGACAATAACTTGTATCTGTTTAAGTTGAGGTACATGTTACTGATTGTTGGCTATTAAAAAAACTTTTCAGTTCTCCTTGAAAAGGGGAACTCTTGTGAATGGTTTAAAAGGGTTCGATTTAACAAAGTATTCCCCAAAGGATTCACATCTTAAAGGGTGAAGGTCTCAGACATAAAAACCTAATCCCCAACAAATGTAACATTTCTTCCTACAAGTTTCCTCATTTAAGCATGACTGTCAGTCAGCTTCCAGAATTACAGTCAGACCGACTTCAAGTTGAATATATCAGCAACCACACATGTTCTCCAGCCCTCAAAGACTGTAATCATGTGAGTGAAGACAAAAAAAAACACAAATGAAGTTTAATAGGCAAACAGCATTGTCCCATTTCTGGTTATTAATATTGCTTAGTGAAAAATGTTAATAACTGGCTGTAAAACCGCTAGTATCCAGACAAATTCCGTCAACTTGTTATAAATTTCAAGAAAAAAAACCAATGTAATGAGACGTTTAATCGATATCCTACCTAGCAGTTATTTCAGTATATTTATTTGGTAATCAAAGTGGTGCTCAACTACCAACTATGAATCAAACTATTTCTTTGATTGCTCAGCACTGGGATGTAATGGGTTTCTGCCAGCTGGCCACGTGGACCAGGAAACTTCACACTGCAAATACAGCAAAGTTTCATCCACAGCATGAGGTGGAAAAGAAAAGATGCAAAGACAAGTGTCTGGTACTTAGAAAATATAGTGGCTTAAAATGTAGCTATATGTATCACTAAATTGAAATCTCTATTGAACGCTTATAAACCTGCTGACAGGGGGAAACCTACTGTTGTAATCATACTTCTGCACATGTTAGGACGGATCACTGTGACAGTAAGTGGATTTTTCCTGTCAGATCACATGATCATTTCTGAATCCTGAAAACTGCGTTCAATGGAAGTCAATGATTGCTGTAAAAGTCACCTTCAGCACATCCAGGTGAACAGGAATTTCTAGATTATGCAACCCAGAATAGATAAAAGCAGCTTTTCAAAGGTTAAGGTTTTGTTTTTTTTTTGCCTGGCAGCACGGATGCTAGGTATAAAGATGGCTCAAAACAGCTCTACAGTGTCTTATACCTGCATTTGTAGTGGGACAGGAGAAAACAGAAGTTAAAGGGGGGTTAGACTTCAGACACATAAGGAAGTGGCTGTTCTTTTTCCTGATACAGCTTCTTGCTACGTTAACTTTGAAAGTTTTTTTTCTTTGCAACACTCACCGGACCCTTCTGATCGGCCGTCGCTGCCTATGAGCGGCACTGTGATGGCTGCCGTGGCAACGCCGTCGGTAGGCATCGTGGTGTAGACGACAGGCAGCGACTGGACCACCACGGGGATGGTCTGCAGCTGGCCCACTTTGCTGGGCATGCTCACTGAGGGGATGGTGTGGATGACATGGAGAATCTGCTGGCCTCCCGCGCCCTGTGTGGCCAAGATGGAGCCCGGAGAGAGGACCTGGACCAGGAGAAGCACAGAGAGGCACACCTCACACACGTTCTGACGTATTCTAATCTACGTATGGTCTACAGCAGTGTTTTTCAACCACTGTGCCACGGTACACTAGTGAGCCGCGAGTGATGGTCAGGTGTGCCGTAGAAAATCTTCCTATTTCACCTAATTCGTCTAAAAAGATTTTTGATAAGGAATTAATTATATGCAAAAGAATTTTGAGTGTGTGTGCTGTTCTAGTGACTGGTGGAGTAATCATGTAATAATTCCTTATGACTAGATTTTGTTTATAATTTTGCATATTGAAGTGGACATGTTAAGAGCAATTTGAAAGAAGAAATATATTAAATATGATAAAAAATACATTTTTGTGTTTATTTGATTCCTATTCAAGACACTTAAAATAAGAGTAAAATAAGAATAACTATAGTGTTACTATAGGCGGATACAGATTTGTTTGACATTTTTGGTTGGTGGTGGTGCCTCGTGATTTTTTTCAATGAAAAAATGTACCTTGGCTCAAAAAGGGTTGAAAAACACTGGTGTACAGTGATGGAGGCGGCGGGGGCTGGTGGTTACCATGGAGCCTATGGACTGCACTGCTGCGGGGACGGGCGTGGCCGGGAGGCTGGGCGGGGTCAGCACGCTGCTGGGGGCGTGGCTGAGCGTGGTGCTGGCCGTGGTGGCGGGGCGGGGCTTGTTGAGCGACAGATCCACAGGCTCAGTCTGGTCCTCCGCAGGGCTGGAGTGGGGGGAGGATGGCTCCGTCTTACATTCTAGCTTCACCTTCAGATCCGAGGGCTGCGAGCAGTCATCTCCTACATGCGCCTGCACGGGAGGAAACGGACGACAGAAAAAAAAACACGGGGAGAAGATTAGAGAGAGAAAAATGAGAACGCGGTTTCACACACTGCCTCCTCAGAGCGGCAACTTTAAATCTTTAATACAGTCAGAGGGGAAATGCCAACCTTTATTGTGCAATATTGAAGCCGGGGCATGCTGAGCTGGTTCAGAGTTCAAAATGTCAGGGAGAGGAAAACAATAGTTTAACAGAATTGATTCTGAGGCTGAGTGGAATAGATCCACAGTCATTTTTTGTGGGTATCCAGGTGTACATTCAGCACAGTGCTAGCTGATGACAATTTCCAGAGTTTATGGGAAACATTCATTTAGAAAATATATAGTTTGCTAAAACAAAAATAATCAGGTGAGATTTAAATAAGATACTCTGGTGAGGTCTCCTGAAGAAAATCTGTACAACTAAGTGTTTTTGCCTTGTTAATATAAGTTTTTTATTTTTTTAAATACTAAATCATCTTAAGAGCTTTTGGCATTGTAGCATCTTTAGGAAGATTCATTTCCCGATAAAAACCTAAAACAACAAACTAAATGCTACAATGTCCTTTGACCTAGTCAAACATTTCTCTTTCACCCAACCGTCATCAGGCTTTTATAACTCGACTCATTTCTGAAGGTGTGTTTCCACCAGTGCCCACTCCACTCAGCACGTCTCTACACGTTGTGTTTTCAGCCCACTCAGGGTTAAGTCAGCAGAATGCTGGGCGCTGATTGGCCGGGGGGGTCACATGATCAGCTAGCTGTCAGGTAAACCCCGCCTGTTTTACAAAGCCATTTCATTCTTTCTGTGATCATAAATGTTGTAAATGCCTAAAACCCGAATCCACAGTGCTGTCCAAAACAAAGTTTAGTGAGGTCATAGTCTCTGTGGTGTCTCTGACCCCGAGGCCTCTCCACGGGTCACCCAGGGTCACAACCGGAGGAACGGTCACCATTTCAAATAAATGTTCAGCTGGAGAGGGCTTTAGGCTCATCAGCCCATCATTACTGATGTTTAAAGGATGGTTGGATTTATTTTGTACTGTTAACCGCTTCATGGATGGCGACATGGTACAGGTTGGGACTTTTGAATCTGGCATAGACGTTTGTTTTGAGAATAAATATACAAACCAAAAAGTAATAAATATCTCTGGACTATTATAATTCTCAGTAGGTTTTGGCCTCGAACATAAATATAGAAGGAACAAAACTGAAAAGGAAAGAACTTCTTAATCTTCTGCCAAATAGGAAAGCCGAGCAGTGACAGAGCAAAAAGAAAAAATGCAGGACACAAAAGAGACGTTGGTTAAAAAAAAAAGAGAGAAATCAGGGCTTCCATATGATCAGAGTGAGACAGAAACAAAAAAAAGGAGGGAAATCCTGTAAAGAAAATGAGGTGGGAAGAAGTGAGGGAATGGGTGAGGCAGAGAGGAGGAAAAGAAACCAGAGAGGAGGATAGAGTGGGTGGGAAAGGCCCCGCGTTGCCATGGAAACTGGGAGCCAGATGACTCCATGTTTTCCATTCTTTCCCCACCAACCACCAACTCCCTTCCCTTTCTCTCAGTCCTCTCATCTTTCCATCGCTCCACATGTCCTTCCCTACCTCCTTTTGTCTGTCGCCGTGTGGACCACACCTCTTCCACCTTTCTCTCCTCCTCACACCCACTCCCTCTCTCTCTCTCTCTCTCTCTCTCTCTCTCTCTCTTTAGCATCTCGTCAGTCTCTGAGTTTTCATATCAACCCCACCCTCGCTGCCTCACCCTCTCACACTTCATTCTCTTTCCGCTTGCTTAATACTTTCTGGATCCAGCAGAAAAGAGAAGAGGCTGCTGGACTACAAGCTGTGACCTGAAAAAAAGCTGAGCGGATGAAACTGGATGGAGAAAAAAGCCTTTGAACTTAGAAATGAGGAAAGAACCTCAGTGCTACCAGGGCAGAATCAGGGTTAGAGGACTCATAGTGTCTTCACAATCAGTAGGACTATTTTTGGATTACAAATGGTTACGTTTAGTGAATATATCTCCATATTCTGTCCCTAACCGTGTCTTGATTTATGCACCCCTCAAAACTTCTCAACATGATACTGACATTGAAATCCATGTGAGAAGACGCCACACACTTTGATACAAAGGGAAAACTTTACTTGTGGAGAGATGATGAGTTTAGATTTATTTTTGACAACGACCCAAATGTATTCAGTGGAAGGTTTTTACCTCATCTTACTGGAATGAGTGATTTAAAGTCAACTCAAAAAAGAAAGATTCCTAATTAAAGTTCTTGAGCCCATACATGTATCTCTGAATTATAATGACTGTCTTTCAAAAGAATGACATAAGAATTCAGTATTCCATAAATATGGGCTTAAATCTGACTGAATGTTAAGTTATTCTAGTGTTTTTGGGTCTAACCATGGCAGCTGGTGAACTCTACCATTTTACACGTGTATGGAAGAGTTTAGCATTTTTAATACAATAAAGCGGAACTGGAAATGGCACCCAACGGTGGTTTTGCTGCCTTTAATCTTTCACAAAGTAGCTTTTTTCATCTTAACCAAATGTTTTTACAATGTTAACAAAGGAGTGAATTAGGACTGACCGCATGTAATTTGCTAGTCGTGTTGAATTAGTACCACAATTTGACACAATCAACAACAAAATATTTCATCTTTTAAAGAAACAGATTTGATTTGATTTTCATTCAAACCACATAAAGTTGTTTCCATTGTGGATGACTGAGTCCATCCTGAGTTAATAGAGGAGTGATGGATTCATTTAATTTGTAATTATGAGTTTTAACACTCAGAACTGTTTCATACAATCAAACAAAGCACTCATTTCCACATTCTTTGCATTCTGAATTTAGTTTTCAGGAAAAACAGTACACAGATACTTTTCAAATCTTTAAATATTTGTTTTCCAGATCAGTCTTCATCAGCTAAATGCTCCCACATACATGTAGCTTCGGCCAAATCACGGATCAGCGTTCCTGTGTCATACTGACTGAAATTAAACTCTTATCTGGGAATAAAGCATTGTAGCATCCCATTTAAATTCTGTCAAATCACAGGGTTGTTAACTAACTTCCACAATCACAGCAAACCTGGACCTGTGAGGAGCAAACATGCTAAACCCCAACTCTGCTTCATTTCTCACCCCCCCCCCCCCTACCCACCCCATCTCACATCAGCTGCTCCATCATAAAATGGGTCACCCACTCTTCGCCTTGCAATTAATTCATGTGATCTCTGAGTTGCGCGGGGACTGCAGCAGCAGGGGAGGCTGTCAGGGAGAAAGATGGACTGTGGCTAATGGATTTTAATCGTTTTGCATTCACCGACACCACGTTTCAGAACTGGTAAAGTAATGACTGATTTATGGGACAATAAATCTCTGCCATCAGTTTGTTCACAGGCTGCTGCTGACACGGTGTAGGACGTGTGGAAGATGTATGAGCATATGTTGTACATACGAGTCAGCTTCAGAAGTCGGTCAGATCTTTATAGAATGTGTTCCTTTTGTTGTTTTAGACATTGACATAAGAAGTATCAAATCTACCAACTCAGATGCTGACTCATCATGTGTGTATTTATAGATATGTGAATACACCCATTGAGCAAAAAAGGAAACTCTCTACTCAAAAGGAATACCTTGTTCTAGTGAGTGTTATTGATTTGTCATGCAGACTGATGCATTACTTTACGCTAATTTGTATAGACTAAAAAAAAAAAAAAATTATTTCAGTTGATATATTTCAACAAGTGCTGTGGTGGTCACAAAAGCCCCTCTGTTGTCACAGGAATGTCTCCACACACTGTACATTTCCCATGAATTATCTTCAACTTCTGTAACAATGCCTTATTTTTCTCACTGTTGCCGTCAGTCCTCCAAACCTGACCCCCTTTGTTACAAACAAAACCGACAACAGAAAGCCGTTTTTTCTTCAAACGTAATGCACAGTGATCACACTGCACACTGACCAGCTTTAGAGCTCAACTCAAATTATGGATGAAAGCAAACCAGTCATGTGACCACTAAAATCTTAACATTTACTTGTGATGCTTATATTGTATATTATATGTTCTTTCTTATGTATTTGCCTGCCTAGGGACTACGGATGAAAACGAGCTTTGTAGCTATAATCTGGCATATTTACATTTGTTTTTATACTGATGTTCATTAATGTGCTTTGTCCCTATTCAAATAAATAAATAAATAAATAAATAAAATACTGCTACTCTGACTGTCACTTCTTGGTGAAAGATGGGAAGAAGCTGTAAATCAAACTGTTCAAAAGGAACCCAATCACTATTACTTTTACCAAATCCATGAGTTCTCTGTTTTACTAGTACAGAGAGAAATAAAGTGAGATACAAATGGATCTGTAAGAAGTTTGTGTTAATGTCAATTGTGATGAACTTGATATGGATCTTTGGTTCATAATTGTGCATCCACACGTCTCCGCTTTTCGTAAGGGTATGGTCTGTGTGGGAATGTCTGATTAAAGTGTGTTATGGTGGAGTGGGACAGCTGGGGGGGGGGTATCAGCATAGAGGCACACTGTCCTGCTGGCGGCCCACGCAGACGCAGCTCCCCCCCTCACATAGTTGGACCGCTCCGTTCAGCACCAGCTGCCACTGCCCCGGGTTAAAGTCCGTGTCTGCTTTTTTCCGGATGTTTTCCTCCACTGTTTACGGACCGAAACCCCGTCAGGTCTGAGCGTCTCTGTCCCAGTTCATGCTGATTCTGCTGATTTTTGTACTTCACTTAGCTGGTTAGTCTTTGTCTGACAAACACTGCAGAATACAGCCAGTATCACTACAGCCAAGCTCAGATAAAGATAAAAAAACAAAAACAGGTAGCAGCTGGATAGAAGAATTTAGGGCCCTGGTGTCATATTAACCCGGTCTGGCTGTGTCTTCCATTCAGATGACTGCAAAAACCATATGCATGTATGCATTTTTTATCTTAGGTAATGTTTAAAAAAAAACAGGG